GGGGATGTGTGGGGTCATAAAGAGGGGATGTATGGAGATGCAGAGGGGTGATGTATGGGGACGTGGAGGGGTGACATTAGGGGACAAAAAAAGGGGATGTATGGGGACAAAGAGGGGACACCCTGATGCTGCATCTATGACACATGGGGAGGTGACATATAGGGGCACAGAGAGGTGACATATGAGGGGCACAGAGAAGTGACATATAGGGACACAGAGGGGACACCCTGATGCCTACCCTATGGCATATGAGGACACAGAGGGGGTGACATGTGGGGACATGGAAGGGTGACATATAGGGGCACAGGGAGGTGATGTATGGGGATATGGGGGAGGGGGGGGCACCTTGATGCTGCCCCTATGGCACATGGGGACACAGAGGGGTGATATTTGGGGACACAGGGAGGTGGCATATGGGGATGTAGTGGGGACACCCTGATGCTGCCCCTATGGCACATGGGGACACGGAGGGGTGACATATGGGGACTCAGGGGACACTGTGATGCTACTCTCATGGCATTTGGGTATATGGAGAGGTGACATATGGAAGCAGAGGGGACACTGATGCTGCCCCTATGGCACATGGGGACACAGAGGGGTGATATTTGGGGACACAGGGAGGTGGCATATGGGGATGTAGTGGGGACACCCTGATGCTGCCCTTATGGCACGAGGGGAGGTCATGTATGGGGACACAGGGAGGTGATGTATGGGGACACAGAGGGGGAGGAACACCCTGATGCCACCCCTATGGCACATGGGGATGGAGAGGTGGCATACAGGGACACACAGGGAGGTGACTTATGGGGACACGGGGAGGGGGGACACCCTGATGCCACCCCTGTGACACAGAGAGCTGACATATGGGGACATGGGGGGGTACCATTTGGGGACACAGAGGGGACAACCTAGGCATTTCCCCCCGCTGTCTCCCTGCAGGACGTCCAGGTGGGGCCACGTCAGCGTTGCTCCTGAGGGCACGGGCAGAACGTTGGACGCAGTGGGGGCTGAAGGGGGGGATGCAGACCCTGCCTGAAGCCATCGCTGCCTTCCTGCAGCCACGCCGTGCTGAGCTGCTGCTCCATGCAGAGCTGCAACGCCTGCAGCTGCAGCACAACGGCACCTGGCAGGTGGGGGGGACCCCATTGTGGGACCCACGAGGCCTTCATGTGGGGTTGGGGATCCTAAGCATGTGGGTGTTGGGGTCCTTTGGGGTCTTGTGGTGTTGTTTGGGGGTTCCCGTTCTGTGGTCTGGGGGTGCTGGGGACCTTGGGTTGTCCCCATAGTTTGGGGGACCCCTGAGTTCTCTCCCCCGGTTTGGGGGTCCCTATCCTACAGTTTGGGGGTTCTGGAACCCCTGGGTTCTGTCCCTATCATTTTGGGATCCCTGAGTTCCCTCCCCACAGTTTGGGGGTCCCCATCCCACAATTTGGGGCTCTTAGGTTCTGTCCCCATGGTTTTGGGGTCCCCATCTCACAATCTGGGGGTTCTGGGTCCCCTGAATTCTGATCCTATAATATGGGGAACCCCTGAATTCCCTCCCCGTGGTTTGGAGGTTTCCATGCCACACTTTTGAGTTGCCAAGACCCCCCTTTATCCCCCCCCCCCCCCCCCCCCCCCCCCCCCCCCCCCCCCCCCTCACCCTACCCGACAGCACCATCACCGCAGACCACGTCATCAGCGCGCTCCCCGCTGCAGGTGGGTGCTGGGGGACAACGACGGGGAATTGGGGGTCAGCACTCCTTATCTATGGGGCAGACACCCTAAAACTGACCCCCCCCTGATCCCATACCCAGCCCTGGCACGGGTGCTGCCCCCCGAGGCTCAACCATTGGCACATGAGCTGACCCACATCCCTGCAGTGACGGTGGCCGTGGTGAACCTCCAATATCGCGACGTGACGCTGCCCGTCACGGTGAGATCCCTGACCCCACACATCCCACAGCGTCCCCCATCCTCGCTCACCCCATTACTCAACCCTGTAGGGTTTTGGGCATTTGGTGCCTTCCTCTGAGGATGAAGCACTGCTGGGCATTGTCTATGATTCCGTGGCGTTTCCGCAGCACGATGGCACTGGGAGCCCCTCCGTGCGGCTGACGGTGGGAGATCCCCCCCCTTTTATTATAGGATCTCCCCACATTTTGGCTCCGGGGGGGGGAACTCACCCCGTCCCCTCGTCCCTATAGGTGATGCTGGGAGGCTCCTGGTTCCACCGAAGTTTTGGGGATCCCACAACAGCCCCCAAAGCTGTGTTATTGCAGCGGGCGCAGCGGGCAGTGAAGGAGCAACTGGGGTTGGTGGGGACCCCGGTGAGGTCCATGGTCAGAGTGCAACAGGTGGGTGACAATGGGATGGGGATATGGGGTCGTGAGGATATGGGAACACCCAGGGGGGTTGTGGGGATATGGGGACACTGTCTGACCCCCATTCCTTCCTATAGTCCTGCATCCCGCAGTACACGCTGGGCCATTGGCAGCGTATGGGTAAGGAGGGGGGGGGGGGGGGGGGGGGGAGTGGGGGGGGGGGAGGGGGGCTGGGGATGGGAACAGGGACATGGGAATTGGGATGGGGACATGGGGATAGGATAAGGATGGGGATAGAAAGAGAAATAAGGGGATTGGGAAAGATGGAGGTGTGGGGGTTGGGAATATGGGAGTGGGGAGAGAGGGCTATGGGACTGGGATGGGGATTGTGGGGACAGGAATATGGAGATAGAAATGTGGGGACTGGGAAAGGATGGAGGTATGGGGTTGGGAATATGGGGAGAGGGAGAGAGGAGTATGGGGGTATAGAGAAGGGGATGT